AACCCTAGCACATTTTGTCAAAATTGCAACTGAGTCCCTCATCTTTTACGTATGTACACAATGATCCCTAACCTTTAATTATTGACAAATTGACTCCAAACTTTTAAACATTTACAATTTTACCCCTTTATTCATAGAATAGCTAACACGAAATCTAACAAACTCTCCCTTGGCATTCTGTGACAAAACCAAATTACAGTAGCATGAACTACAATGACAGTCCAATACACTGACTCAACTCACTGTTGCCTTGTCATCTTTCAACCTATTTTCTTAAATCACAACTCACATACCCAGTGTAAAAGCATGAGAAACAGTAATATAAGTAAACATAAATGATAAAGAGTCATGAATAGCCATAACATTGTACTAATATGCTAGATTAAGAGATAATATCAATGTAAGTCAAACCACAAAAAACATACATCAATAGTGCAAAACATCAACACATAATCTAGCCAAAAATATCAATAGTACATTGTCAAAGTATTTTATCATTACAAATCCCAAAAAAAATTAGCACCCACTCCCCCTTTTTGTCACAAGTGGCAAGGGGAATCCCAAGTAACTAAGCAGGACCATCATCTCCGCCATCCATGTCCTCAGAATCCTTAACCTCAGACTCATAATCCCAGTGCTCGCGCATCCACCGAATACCGCGCTAAACAAGAGCAATAGCCCCCGCCAATGTAGCAAACTCCACAATATGACGCTCGAAAACAGCTCGTAACTGAGTAATGTCAGCCATTATGCGGGCCTGCTACTCAGGGCCTGCTGCTCAATGAGAATCGACATCTGACCCATAAGTACGACAGTGGGGTCAACAGGAATAGTACCCAGAGCAGGCGAGGCGAGTGGCATAATAGAAGTGGAAGAAGAGGGAATATCTGAAATGGATAGAGGAACATCGGATGGAGGAGGAGGAGGAATAGCTGAGAGATCAGCAAGTAAAACACCCAAAGGGTCAGCGGGCACTGTCGGGTCGACAAGCTCATCTGGCTCAGCAGGAGCAGATGCAGAAGCAGAAGAAGTGACATGTGACCTACTTTAAGAGATGGTAGTGTGCCCTATGAGACGAAGCACTCGTCGTGAGACCCCATCGGGAAATGAAGCCCCAAGTGATGTCACCAAGCGGTGGATCAAGCAAGCATAAAGAAGACCAATCCGATGACCAGAAGTGCGAAAGGTACGTAGAATGTGCTAGCAAATGAAGGTAGGTAGGTCAATCGAATCCTCATGCAGCAAAGCAAAAAGAAACCTCGCCTTTTCCATAGGTAGGGAAGAAGTGTGAGAGACGGGCCACAGATTCGTACACACAACAAAATCTGTCGATCAGTGGGGAGCGAACCAGTGCGGATCACCTCAGGCCCACCTCCCAAAGGACTATTAAACAGGGTGGACTGATCTAGAGAGTCGACCGGAATAGAATCAACAGAGAGATATGGGTAAACAGGGTGAATGACCCGGGGAACATGTATGGAACTGGAAATAACATCCGGTAAAATCCTAAGGGTTTCACCCCGAAGGAACACCCGGAAGGACGAACCACTAATGTCATGGATGTTCGCATAGAACTCTTGAACAAGAAGACTAGGCGGGGGATTTAACCCAATCAGCAAGGATTCCCAACCTCGAGAAGTAAAGATAGCTGCTACATCAGGGGATAGGTCGGATAGAGTGACCTCACGCTCTACTAGGACAGGACGACGAGAAAACTGGCTCCCAAATACCTCTTGAGCAGTAGAGGAAATGAACCTAGAATGACTAAACGAAGCCGATCCACTACCAGGCTGAACTGTAGTCCTAGCCCTCTTAGGTGCCATCTGCAATGCGAGATGTAGACGATAAATCAATCCTCAAGGAAAACTAATATATGGAGACACATGACTGCACAAATCCTAAAGTTCAACCACACATAGGCATGTAAATCGATGTAAGAGTGGTGCACAAGTGGTAAGCATGCAAGCCCGAGGTAAAACATGTGACTACGGCCGGAGGACAATGACAAGTGACATGACCTAGACGTGAACAAGAATGACTGCAGGTCGGAAGGCACTCACTGCAAGGATGAGTGTTAACACCAAAACCAATAGGTGCCGACCCAAAGTAGGGACCAAAACGACACAGTAAGGATCCAAACACCAAGCATACGCGAGGAATGGCACACAATGGGCAAGGGGAGTAGGGTTGTGGAGATGAGACACTTCATCGAACAATTCACAGGTACTTGAAACACAAGGAAGATAACCTACAAATGCAATAATGCAATAGACACCCAACATACCTTAACAACACCATCTACCTAGCATTCAAAAACACCCAACGCTAAAATTTCCAAATGGTGAAGAGAAAAAAAAAAAGAATAAACAAACGAACGGGTTAAGCAATGCACTTACCAATTGGGAACAACGAAACACCAATGAATGCACACAAGGAAGAGGAATTGAAGCCCCACAAGCAAAAAATGAAGTGCAAATCGACCAAAGAGGGTTGTCGAGAGAGAAAAAGCGAGAGAGAGATGTAAAAAAATGAAAAAGGAATGACCCGGAACCCTTCACGAGAAAATTAAAAGTCTCGCTGTTTCTCGAGCGAACATTGAGCGACAAGACACTGATTTCGTCGCTCGAGTGAGCTTCCAGCGAGCGAAGGGAAAATGTCAAAAATAGCACTTAAAATTGAAAATTTGAAAAGTTAGCCCCGGGTTTAAACTTTGCAAAGTAACAGCACTTTAGAAATTTTCAAAAATAACACCTTTTCCAGAAATTTGAATTTTGACCTCAAATTTTTTTTAAACAAAGTGAAAGACAGATGCAAATGAACACAAATAGGCAATGTAATGAATGCAGAAAAGAATCATGCATCTATAAAGACGATTAGGGAGGAACACAGATGTCAACAGTCTTCCTAAGTAACTCGAATCTAAACCTATCTAGAGGTTTAGTGAACAGATCGACAAGTTGATTTTCAGTAGAGATGTGTTCAAGTGATATCACATTGAACTCAACTAACTCTCGAATAAAGTGATGACGAATGTCAATGTGTTTGGTCCTAGAATGCTGAACATGATTTTTTGATATGTTGATAGCACTAGTATTGTCACAGAAAACAGTCATAGTACCCTGATTTATCCCATAGTCACTCAGCATTTGCTTCATCCAAAGCAGTTGAGTGTAACAGCTACCAGTTGCAATGTATTCTGCCTCGGTTGTGGACAATGAGACTGAGTTTTGTTTCTTACTCATCCATGAGACAAGATTAGAACCAACGTAGAAACATCCACCCGAGGTACTTTTTCTATCGTCGACGTTTTCGGCCCAATCGACATTAGAATAGCCGACTAGTTCTAGATTGGACTCTCTGGAATACAAGATCTCATGATCTACTATCCCATTGACATATCTAATAATGCGCCTCACTGCACCTAGATGGGACTCCTTAGGATCAGCTTGAAATCTAGCACATACTCCAACACTGAACGTTATGTCAGGTCTACTAGCTGTAAGATATAGTAGATTGCCTATCATGCTCCTATACACAGTCGATCAACACTCTTACCTGTAGGATCATGTCTTAACTTAACATTTGTGCTTATGGGTGTTCTTGTGTGTTTCTTACTGTCCAAGCCAAATCTCTTCACAAGGTCTTTGGCATATTTTAATTGAGAGATAAACAGCTCACAATCAGTTTGCTTTACTTGAAGACTAAGGAAGTAACTTAGCTCTTCAACCATGCTCATTTCAAATTCTTGTTTCATGCATTTAGCAAATTCAAGAGCAAGGGAGTCAATAGGAGAGCCAAAGATGATGTCATCGACATAGATCTGAGCTACAGTGATAGTTTCTTCAATATGTCTAATGAATTAGGTTCTGTCAACACCACCTCGTAAGAACCCATGCTCAACGAGGTAAGTGGTTAGTCTGTCATACCAAGCTCTAGGAGCTTGTTGCCACGCGTTTTATATAACGTGATTTAACCGCAAATATACGTTGTCAAGTTTTGTAATATAGTAAAGAATTTAAAATGTCGAACCCACAGGGATTGATATTCAAATTTCACTGAGTATTATAATTGTTTCGATTTTCACTTTATTTAGACAAAACCAATGTTTGAATGATGTTTTTTTGCTAATCTAATTTAAATGGAATAAAGAATGCAAGTAAAGTAAGACAATTTCTAAAAATCAAATCAAACTATGGAGATCTAGGGATTGATTTCACCATATTATCAACATGCTCTCAATCTCTATAGCCATTTCCATTGAGTTTTTCCCAATTTATAGGCAAGAATCCTAATTTAATTCTATTCCCTCTCTCGAGTGCCAATAGAATCTATCGTTATATTTTAACCCTAATATCTCTATCCCGAATTAAATATATAAAGATTGTTAAAACTCTTGGTTCTTGTTTATACCCCCCAAAGATTTGCACTTTCTCTCGAAACCTACAAATCTTGGTTATGTTGTTCCAAATCATGTCTAAATTTCCCTCTCTCGAGTATTAAATTTAAGACATCGATTCATTCAATTAATGATCAGACAATTGAAAGCATTAAGCACAAAACAACACAAATAAACCATGGAAAAACTGAAAAAAATAACTATATTAAAATCAAATCATGTCTCAAATAGGTTACATCAACCCTAGATCTAAGAATTTAGTTCATGCTTGAATCGATCAACATACCAAAATACAAGATAAAGAACATGACAAATAGTAAATAAGGGTTTAGAAAAACTTATTGAAGCCACTTGTTTTTCCCCAATTGTTCGTCAATCTTGATGCAATTCAATTTTCTTTTCCTTGCCTCTTGAATGGATCTTCAATTTTTGCACCCTTTTTGCCCAGAGAGATTACCAGAAAAGAACCGCCTCCCTTAGGTTTTTCTCTTGGTATTTATGTTATCTTCTAATTTTAGGTGATTAGGGAACATCTTGGGCCGAGAAATATCCAAAAATTTGGGCTTTTAGGCGTTGCGAGGTTCGGCACCGCATTGTGATTAGGTTATGGCGCTGTGGCGCCCAAGTCTAGCGCCACGGCGCCAGTTGTTCTGTTTCTTGTTTTCACGCTGGGCGCTATGGCACCCAACTTCCTGCTGACTTTCTCCTTTTGTTGGGAGTCGTGGCACCTAACAAGCTGCTCCTTGCTTGAATCATTCACCTTCTAAGCTTCTTTTCCATTGCAATCTTCTTTTCTTATCTCTAATTTATGCCCCCATTTTATGACCACCATTTAGATTCATCACAAGCTCTCAATTATGGTGTTTTCTCGAATGTTGATTTAGCTGCAAGACAACACGAACACACACATCAAAACGTTCAAAAGTGCTCAAGAACAAGCTAAAACCCATGATTTAGAGGCGTATGTTTAATGAGTGAATTACACTCATCACTTGTTTCAGACCATACAGTGTTTTATTGAGTTTGTAGACATAATGAGGAAACTTAGGGTCAATGAATCCTTTTGGCTGTTCAACATACGCCTCTTCTTGAAGTATTCCATTTAAGAATGCAGTGTTGACATCCATTTGATATAGCTTGAACCCTAAGGTACATGCAACCACAAGAAGAATATGAATGGACTCAAGACGAGCAATTGGGGCAAAAGTCTTATCAAAATCTACCCCTTCCACCTGAGTGTACCCTTGGGCAACTAGTCTAGCCTTATTTCTAGTTATGGTACCTTGGTCATCGATTTTATTTTAGAAGATCCACTTATTACCTATCATATTACAATCATCAGGCCTAGGAACTAGATACCAAACATTATCTCGAACAAATTGATTAAACTCCTCATGTATGGCATTCACCCAGTATTCATCTCTAACGGCTTCCTCTACTTTCTTAGGTTCAATCTGGGATACATAGTTAGTATATGTTAGGTTATTTAGAACTCTCTTTCGTAATCTCATACCTTCATCTAAATTCCCAATGATGTTAACCTTAGAATGATTAGATTTGACCCTGGAAGATGGTTCTCTAGGAAGCTTAGACTGATCCCAATTTGGTAGACCCTGTTCAAATATGTTTTCTGAGGAGCGTGGAGATTTTGGAATTGATTGCTCTTTATTTTCAGCAATAGCTCTTTGATCATCACTTAGATCTTCTATGTCAACCCCATTTTCAGCACTTTTCCCCTCAGTAAAGGCATCATCAATAACAACATTTACAGATTTCAGGATACTCTAAGTACGCAAGTTGTAAACTCGGTAGGCTCTACTGTTCTTAGAATATCCTAGAAAAATCCTATCATCACTTTTGGAATCAAACTTGCCTCGATTTTCTCTATCCCTCATAATGTAACACTTGTTGCCAAACACCCGAAAGTATTTAACATTAGGCTTTTTGCCTTTCCATATCTCATAGGGAGTCTTGTTTGATTTCGGTCTCAAGTATACCCTATTTACTATGTGGCATGTGGTGTTAATAGCTTCATCCCAGAAATGCATTGCTAGATCCTTGCCGGGAAGCATGGCCCTAGCCATTTCTTGAAGCACTCTATTCTTCCTCTCAACAACTCCATTTTGCTGTGGAGTGATTGGTAAAGAGAGCTCATGCTTAATCTCCTCCTCCAAACAGAAGTTTTCTAGATTGAAGTTTTCAAATTCTTTCCCATGATCACTTCGAACCCTAGAAATAGGAAGATTTTGTTCAACTTTAAGTCTTTTACATAAGGACTTAACCAGATCACCCGTCTCAGATTTTTCTCTTAATAGTTCAATCCAGGTGTATTTAGAAAAGTCATTTACCATAACCAGAATATACCGTTTGCCTCCTAGGCTCTCTACCCTAGATGGTCCCATTAAATTCATATGGATAAGCTCTAAGGGTCTATTCGTCAAGATTTTTGAGGTTCGCTTATGGTTCATCCTGAGTTGCTTTCCTTGTTGACATGGCTTGCACACAACATTCTCACTTTGATCAATCTTAGGTAAACCATCAACAATCTTCTTTTTGACCAATTTAAACAAACTTCTGTAGTTAACATGACCAAGCCTTTGATGCCAAAGTTCAGACATATCAATTTTAGCACTACTGTATACATAGTTCGAGTTTGGAAGAACTTTATAACAGTTATCAGATGTTCTAACACCTTCAAGAACAACATCACCAGAAGCGTCATAAACAGTGCATCTCTTTTGGACAAAACTCACTTCATAGTCAGCATCATAGATTTGACTAATGCTCAATAAGTTGGACTTAAGACCCTCTACATAAAGTACATTGGATATTGTAGGAAGTCCAGCAATGGTGATGGAGTCTTTACCTCAGATTGGTGTCGTAGCTCCGTCCCCAAAGGTAATTACACCGTTGTTGCAGTCATCAAAGGTAGGGAATAAAGCCTTGTTATCACACATGTCTCGAACAAGCACTATCAAGATACCACATGCATGTATGTTGAGCTTTATATGCAACATGCACAACAAAATATTTTAGATTCTTAGTATACTCACCCACATCAGATTTTTTTACCCAAACTTTTCTTGAGGTCAAGGTGATCCTAGTCAACCTCGTTACCATCTCAATTAAGTGGCTAACCTGATTTGAAAGGAAGTTCAATCGACAAGGGATATCCTGACTTCGATTCCTATTTGCTAGCTTTCGACACCTAGGTTTCGTGTGGCCTAAGGCACCATAGTGATGACAAGTGGGTATGAACCTAGGTTCAGATGCACGTGAGTGTTGATCATGAAAATTAGGTGCAGAAATACTATGAGCTCTAGTGGCCTTCAGTCCAGTGAAATTTTTGTTTTTGGATTCTGGATTTGTTGAAACATTAGATCTGTTGGAAGCGGGGACAAATGTGGCCTTGGATAAACTAGACACATTGCTATCACTCTTCACAAATCCTAGACCTTGCCTATTTCCAGCTACTTTGTTCGTTCTTAACAGATCGTCTAGTTTCATAGTTCCACTCACAAATGACTGTAGTTGAGTGCTGGATTTCTCTAATCCACAAGTCGATGTCTTGACCCTGTCCTCTAATTTCTCATTGACACACTTCAACTCATTAAGATTCTTAGATGAGACTTGAAGATCATAGGTGATTTTCTCATTCTCTCTCTCAAGCTTGTCTACCTTCTTAAATAATGTTTTATTTACCTTTTTGATCTTGAGACTTTCCTTAAACAGAAGTTGATAAGCTTCATGTATATCCGTCTCATCCTCCGAATCATTACCAGACTTGTTACTCTTGACAGTAGATACAAAAGTCATATAGCCCTCTTCCTCCTCACTACTTGAGGAATCACTTTGTTCACTTGAATTAGAATCATCATCAGTCAAGGACACAGCTAATGCCTTGCTACTCCCCTTCTTTAGATTTTTCTTAAAGCTAGGACATTTATTTCTATAGTGCCCAAATCCCTGACACTCATGACACCTAACCACTTGAGATTTCTTACCAGGGTTCCTAGCAGTTGATTTATCATCCTTCTCTCTTTGCAATTTACTAGGGGCGTCTATTCTTTTCTCTTGAGGCCATTTTTTGCCCTTTAAGACTTTCTAAAATTATTTCACAAAGTAGGCAATCTCATCATCTCTAAGAGTTTCCATGTCAGATGACTCAAACTCTCCTTCCCTAACAGTGTTTAGGGCTATGAACTTGTTTTTCCTCAGTTGTGAAATGGTGAGTTCATAGGTTTGAAGGGATCCTACGAGTTCTTCTATCTTAATTGTATCCAGATCCTTGCTTTCTTCAATAGCTATAACTTTAGATCTAAATCTCTCGAGCAAGGATCTAAGAACCTTCCTCACAATTTTGGGCTCGGGAATCCTCTCACCTAAGTTGAAACTAGAGTTAACAATGTCATTCAATTTGGCATAGAACTCATCAAAAGATTCATCATCCTTCATCCTAATTTCTTCAAACCTTGAGGCCAACATTTGCAACTTAGAATTTTTCACAGTTTTAGTTCCTTCATGCGTTGTCTCAAGAATGTCTCATACCTCTTTAACAGTGTCACACATTGACACTCTTCTAAACTCTTCAGGAGACACAGACATAAGTAATTCATGGAGACCTTTACTATTCCAGTTGCATTTAGCCAATTCATCCTTAGTCCAAAGGGAAATGTCAATTGGGGTTACAACACCCGACACAATTGTGGAAGGAGGTTTCCAACCATTTTGTACACTCACTCAGACACGTTCATCTAGGGACTTAAGAAACGCACGCATTCTAACCTTCCAATAGGCATAGTTGCTTCCGTCAAAATACGGAGACAAAAACAGTGATTGACTCATCTAGACAACTATTGGTCAGGAATCGAGATTTGGCTTTGATACCACTTGAAATATTGTAGTTCGACCCAATCAACACCTAGAGAGGGGGGTGAATAGGTGTTTATGTGAAATTTTCATTTTCAATCAATTAATAATTGCAACACGTCACAAATATTAATTTGTCCAGATCAATTCACATGCTTTACTATCCTATATTTGAATACCGGTCTTAAATTAATTGCAGAAAGATAAATAACACAATTGTTTGATAACGGAAAAACCCTAATGTGGGTAAAACTTCGGGCTCAAGCCAGTAGGAATCAACTATAAACGAAAATAAAACTTACAATCAACCAGGCTCAACCTACACTGATTTTTCTGACATCCTAACCATAATTTCCTCAAAGCCTTCCTGGAATGCGTGATCCTGCACCAACTCTCGACACCTAGCCCTCCTGGATTACGTGCTACACTAATTCCCGACTCTTGATTTTGTCTATCTCCTGTGTATTCAAGAGAACGGCCCGTTCTCTAATGATCGGGACTCCGATCTCCTTCCTCGATCTTCAAGAATCAACAAAGGCTCTAGAAGGTTGTGTTGTGGTGTTTGGTGAATGTTGATTTGATATTTTTTTTTATGTAATTGCTCAAATCAAATATGAGGTTGAATAAGAGAATCAAAGTGTGGAGAGTTTTCTTCAATTTCAATCCCTTGAGAGCACCACTGAAAATCGGCGCAATTTTTCTTATATGCAGTGTATTTGGTTATTTTGGTCGGGTTAAAATGTCGAAAAAAGGAAAATAGGGTTTTATGGGTAACACTGTCACTCGAGCGAAGTGGGGGTGAGAAGCAAGTAACGACCTTTCTGTTTTTGTTGCTCAAGCGACCACTTGGAGAGCAGCTAGCGAAATTTCAACGACACATCTTATCCTACTTCATAGCTCGAACCCTAGCACACTTTGTCAAAATTTCAATTGAGTCCCTCATCTTTTACACATGTACACAATGACCCCTAACCTTTAACTATTGACAAATTGACCCCAAACTTTTGAACATTTACAATTTTACCCTTTTGTTCACAGAATAGCCAACACGAAATCTAACAAATAGGAAAGAGATTAGTTCACAAAAACGAACTTATAATACTACAATTCGTAATCATAAAAGTGATGAAGAACCAAGACATAGTAAAAGGTCTAAAACAGCTACATCCTTTGGTCCAGATTTTCTAACTTATTTGTTAGAAAATGAACCTAGGACATTCAACAAAGCTATGTCAAGTCCAGAAGCCCCATTCTGGAAAAAGGCAATCAATAGTAAAATTGATTCTATTATGCGGAATCATACGTGGGAGCTAGTAGATCTCCCACCAAGTAACAAATTGTTACGTTGCAAATGGATTTCCAAGAGAAAATTAAAGATTGATGGATCAATTGATAAATATAAAGATAGATTGGTAGCTAAAGGGTTCAAACAAAAGGAAGGTCTTGATTTTTTTGACACATACTCTCCTGTAACAAAAATAACGTCTATTAGAGTATTAATTGTAATGCAACATTGCATGATATAGAGATCCATCAGATGAACGTCCAAATAACCTTCTTAAATGGAGAGCTAGACGCAGAAATTTACATGGAACAACCTGAGGTGTTCACTGCTCCTGGGCAGGAGAAAAAGGTGTGTAGAGTCATTAAGTCACTATACGGACTCAAGCAATCACCAAAATAGTGACTCAAAAAATTTGACAAAACTATGTTGTCAAATGGCTTTAAGATTAATGAATGTGATAAATGTGTTTATATTAAAACCACACTCAGTGCATATGTAATTGTATGTGTCTATGTCGATGACATGCTAATAATGAGTAGTAATCATGATATCATAATAACTACTAAGAAAATCTTGACAAAATATTTTGATATGAAAGATATGGGTATTGCAGATGTAATATTAAGAATTAAAATCCTTAAAACATCCGAGGGACTTGTTCTATCTCAATCTAACTATATTGAGACCGTGCTTCAGAAATTTCATGTATATGATGAAAGTCCAGTTAAAACTCCTGTAGACTTGGGTCTACATTTGGCCAAACATAAAGGTAAGCCCGTATCTCAGTTGGAGTACTCTCGAATAATAGGTAGTCTAATGTATATCAGCAACTGCACTCGTCTGAATATAGCATATACAGTGAACAAGGTTAGTAGATTCACAAGTAATCCAAATAATGAGCATTGGAAGGCATTGAAAAGGGTTTTTAGATATCTACGATACACCTCAAATGTTGGATTACATTATACAAGATATCCAACTGTATTAGAAGGATACAGTGATACTAATTGGATATTAGATATAAAAGACTCAAAATCCACTAGTGGTTATATCTTTACCATTGGTGGCGCGGTCGTATCTTGGAAATCATCTAAACAAACGTGTATAACTCGATCCACGATGGAATCAGAGTTCATAGCTTTAGATAAAGCTGGAGAAGAAGCATAATGGCTTCGTAACTTTTTAGAGGATATTTCAAGTTGACCTAAACTTGTGCCTGCAGTTAGTATACATTGTGATAGTCAGTCGGCTATCGATAGAGCACAAAGTAATATGTATAATGGTATGTCTCGACATATCCATCGAAGACATAATACAATTAAGCAGTTGATCTCGACTGGTGTCATTTCCATAGATTATGTAAAATCTAGAGAAAATCTCGCGGATCCGCTCACAAAAGGTTTACCAAGAGATCAAATGTACTGTCTATCAAGGAGAATGTGCTTAAAGCCTGCTAAGTAAGGATCTTTGTAATGATAACCCAACCTTGCTGACAAGAGATCCCAAGATCTTGGTTCAATGGGACAACTAAGTTAAGCACTTCGGAGTTTACTCCTACCGGTTCCTATGATAAGAGAAGTGCTATCTGCAGAAAGTTTTAGGTTAAGATATGTTTTTAATGATTCTTATATCTTGAACTATCCAAGTGGAGTATGGCAGGTACTCTTAATAGGAAATCACCTATATAAGTGCGAAGTGAGGCCGCTTCCATGAGAATGTTTCAAGGGTTTGAATTTTCTAAAACACTTATGAAATCCAAGAGTTGTTTAGGGCCAAAATGAACATGACAGTGAGAACTCGAAAATATTAGGGAGGTTATTGTGTTGATGCTATTGTCGTGATTTACAATAATAGCTGACAGTTTAAGACATTACGTTCACTGATTAGCCAAGTAAATATGATAGTATACTACTATGGAAGGTTCAAACTCATAAGGTATCTATCCAGATGCAATAACTTTCCGCCTGATCTCTCGTTAGGGTTTGCATCATCTATTACATTGATTTCCATTCATGTAGAGGATTGTTGGGAATTTGGAATAATTAGTTGGTTTGACTAGCTTTTGACCAATTATATAAGTGGGTCCTGTTAGTTGGATAAATGATTTATTTGGCCAAGTGCATTCTACTCCATGAGTAGAATTGATATATATATTTATTTTTTAAAACTAATTAAGGGTGAATGAGAAATTAAAGCCAAAAGATGACTACTTGAAGTTGAAATAATTAGGAATAAAAATTGGTAGAAAATTGAAAAGTGCCAATTTCACATAGGAAAACTAGAAGAATAGAAACCACTTTATATAAATCAAGTTAAAGACTTGGGTTTGGGCCCTAAGGGGTACCCCTAGTCTTTAGAGGGGAGATGACCTACATGCTACTAGGTTTTAGTTAAAGACCACACGTGCGCGCCCCGTCCATTCGCCTGGCCGACTCGGCACGAGCACGGGCTTGGGTAGTGGTCGTGGGCTTGGGCTTGGCCCAGTTGGTATATATATTGGTAATATAATATTTTAAATTATATTATTTTATTAATTAAATAATATATTAAAATATTATATTATTTATTTATTTTTTCCCGAATTTTCTGTACAAGACACGTGGATTCTTCTAGAAACTAACTGTTGGTGACAGTTTTAACTCCCTGTCCAAATGGGTCATGTCTGTTCGAAGACACAACCTTTCGGCTATTGTGTCTTTTGGGCACAACCTTTCAACTTCTATAAATAGACCCAAAATCCCCGATTTTTATTCACTCCAAAAAGTTTATTCTACTTCCCTTCTCCTACAATATTGTCTTTCTGCCCTGCAACTTTCCATATATTTGCATTTCAGTCCTAAATATTATTTTCGTGCATTTTAGTTCTCCGATTCTCGAGAGATCAAATATTAATAGGTTTGTTGGGTCTTGTAATTTGGAGTGCTATTATTACAAGTTGAGGTCGTTGTATCTTGGGAAACGAGTGCCAGAAGACCGACAGCACCAGTGCATGGCATTTTTGTCTTAAGGAGAAAGAGTCGAACTCTTGCCTTGACCATTATTCATTCTGATCTATTACGCTAATTTTGTAAGTTAAAATTCTGCCCGAATATTTATTCGCAATTTATTTTTGTAAATTACTGCATGACATTCTCGAAGATTTTCAACAGTTTGTATATAGAACTTTCACCCTTTTTTTATACATGGAACTTTCAATGTTTTATATTTTGAACATTCACCATCTCAATGGACATTAATGACACATTGTACATGGAACTTTCAACATTTTGTGTATATTTTCATCAGCTGCCTGCTACATCAATTTGGTCAATTTAATACTCTTGATTACATG